GCAATTTAAATCCTTGAAAGATTTGAATATTTAGATTTTCAAAAAGTTGTGTGCACATTTATAAGTATTTATATGTTATATTATCTTTGCATCAAATTACAAAGAATGAATTAAAGCTTGTGTGAGGAGTTTCTAATGCAGCGTCTATGGGCGGGACAGTAAATTTGATGTTGTTCTCTCTTCCGGCTGCCGTCAGCCACACCATCGTGGAGTTTTTCTTTTATTATTTCAGCAAATACACTGTAAACCCTAATGTTGTCTTTACTTATACAATTAAGTAAAGTTGACTGAACATAACTTAAAATGTAGCATTTTGGTCCTATCACGTAAAAATATGAGTTAATTTTACTTATGTACTATGAAAACACATAAACGTAAGATTTCAAGTGTAGTGAGCTCAAAATCATAATTAATCCTTTGGGAAAAAAGGGTAATTTTCACAAATGTAGTCTTGACTGTAAAATTCTAATATGTGCAACATTTAAAGTGCAATGTCTTTTTTTAAATCAGAAAACAAATGGCTTCAGGTATAATTATTCATCATAATGTGAATAAATGGCTACTTAGTTTTTGTTTAAAATTTATTAAAACATTTTTTCATAGTATATTATTACACACACTAAATACCCTAATTTAGCTGACTGAACTAAATTAATTGTTTAAACTCGTTGCCTTAATTGAATTAAGTAATGGAGTCTCCCAAAACTTGCATATTTAAGTTTATTTAATTTGCCTGTTTTAGTACTAGGTTTGTAAACTGAACAATTTAAGTATATTCTACCTAAGTACTATGTTTTTGAACTAAACTATTTAAATATAATCCTCTTAAGTACTAAGTTTGTGAACTGAACAATTTAAGTATCATCTACTTAAGTACTAAGTTTGTGAACTGAACAATTTAAGTATCATCTACTTAAGTACTAAGTTTGTGAACTGAACAATTTAAGTATCATCTACATAAGTACCAAGTTTGTGAACTGAACAATTTAAGTATCATCTACTTAAGTACTAAGTTTGTGAACTGAACAATTTAAGTATCATCTACTTAAGTACTAAGTTTGTGAACTGAACAATTTAAGTATCATCTACTTAAGTACTAAGTTTGTGAACTGGACAATTTAAGTATCATCTACTTAAGTACTAAGTTTGTGAACTGAACAATTTAAGTATCATCTACATAAGTACTAAGTTTGTGAACTGAACAATTTAAGTATCATCTACTTAAGTACTAAGTTTGTGAACTGAACAATTTAAGTATCATCTACATAAGTACTAAGTTTGTGAACTGAACAATTTAAGTATCATCTACTTAAGTACTAAGTTTGTGAACTGAACAATTTAAGTATCATCTACTTAAGTACTAAGTTTGTGAACTGGACAATTTAAGTATCATCTACTTAAGTACTAAGTTTGTGAACTGAACAATTTAAGTATCATCTACATAAGTACTAAGTTTGTGAACTGAACAATTTAAGTATCATCTACTTAAGTACTAAGTTTGTGAACTGAACAATTTAAGTATCATCTACTTAAGTACTAAGTTTGTGAACTGAACAATTTAAGTATCATCTACATAAGTACTAAGTTTGTGAACTGAACAATTTAAGTATCATCTACTTAAGTACTAAGTTTGTGAACTGAACAATTTAAGTATCATCTACTTAAGTACTAAGTTTGTGAACTGAACAATTTAAGTATCATCTACTTAAGTACTAAGTTTGTGAACTGAACAATTTAAGTATCATCTACTTAAGTACTAAGTTTGTGAACTGGACAATTTAAGTATCATCTACTTAAGTACTAAGTTTGTGAACTGAACAATTTAAGTATCATCTACATAAGTACTAAGTTTGTGAACTGAACAATTTAAGTATCATCTACTTAAGTACTAAGTTTGTGAACTGAACAATTTAAGTATCATCTACTTAAGTACTAAGTTTGTGAACTGAACAATTTAAGTATCATCTACTTAAGTACTAAGTTTGTGAACTGAACAATTTAAGTATCATCTACTTAAGTACTAAGTTTGTGAACTGAACAATTTAAGTATCATCTACTTAAGTACTAAGTTTGTGAACTGGACAATTTAAGTATCATCTACTTAAGTACTAAGTTTGTGAACTGAACAATTTAAGTATCATCTACATAAGTACTAAGTTTGTGAACTGAACAATTTAAGTATCATCTACTTAAGTACTAAGTTTGTGAACTGAACAATTTAAGTATCATCTACTTAAGTACTAAGTTTGTGAACTGAACAATTTAAGTATCATCTACATAAGTACTAAGTTTGTGAACTGAACAATTTAAGTATCATCTACTTAAGTACTAAGTTTGTGAACTGAACAATTTAAGTATCATCTACTTAAGTACTAAGTTTGTGAACTGAACAATTTAAGTATCATCTACTTAAGTACTAAGTTTGTGAACTGAACAATTTAAGTATCATCTACTTAAGTACTAAGTTTGTGAACTGGACAATTTAAGTATCATCTACTTAAGTACTAAGTTTGTGAACTGAACAATTTAAGTATCATCTACATAAGTACTAAGTTTGTGAACTGAACAATTTAAGTATCATCTACTTAAGTACTAAGTTTGTGAACTGAACAATTTAAGTATCATCTACTTAAGTACTAAGTTTGTGAACTGAACAATTTAAGTATCATCTACTTAAGTACTAAGTTTGTGAACTGAACAATTTAAGTATCATCTACTTAAGTACTAAGTTTGTGAACTGAACAATTTAAGTATCATCTACTTAAGTACTAAGTTTGTGAACTGGACAATTTAAGTATCATCTACTTAAGTACTAAGTTTGTGAACTGAACAATTTAAGTATCATCTACATAAGTACTAAGTTTGTGAACTGAACAATTTAAGTATCATCTACTTAAGTACTAAGTTTGTGAACTGAACAATTTAAGTATATTCTACTTAAGTACTAAGTTTGTGAACTGAACAATTTAAGTATCATCTACTTAAGTACTAAGTTTGTGAACTGAACAATTTAAATATAACCCTCTTAAGTACTAAGTTTGTAAACTGAACAATTTAAGTATATTCTACTTAAGTACTAAGTTTGTGAACTGAACAATTTAAGTATCATCTACTTAAGTACTAAGTTTGTGAACTGAACAATTTAAATATAACCCTCTTAAGTACTAAGTTTGTAAACTGAACAATTTAAGTATATTCTACTTAAGTACTAAGTTTGTGAACTGAACAATTTAAGTATCATCTACTTAAGTACTAAGTTTGTGAACTGAACAATTTAAGTATCATCTACTTAAGTACTAAGTTTGTGAACTGAACAATTTAAGTATCATCTACTTAAGTACTAAGTTTGTGAACTGGACAATTTAAGTATCATCTACTTAAGTACTAAGTTTGTGAACTGAACAATTTAAGTATCATCTACATAAGTACTAAGTTTGTGAACTGAACAATTTAAGTATCATCTACTTAAGTACTAAGTTTGTGAACTGAACAATTTAAGTATCATCTACTTAAGTACTAAGTTTGTGAATTGAACAATTTAAGTATCATCTACATAAGTACTAAGTTTGTGAACTGAACAATTTAAGTATCATCTACTTAAGTACTAAGTTTGTGAACTGAACAATTTAAGTATCATCTACTTAAGTACTAAGTTTGTGAACTGAACAATTTAAGTATCATCTACTTAAGTACTAAGTTTGTGAACTGAACAATTTAAGTATCATCTACTTAAGTACTAAGTTTGTGAACTGAACAATTTAAGTATCATCTACTTAAGTACTAAGTTTGTGAACTGAACAATTTAAGTATCATCTACTTAAGTACTAAGTTTGTGAACTGAACAATTTAAGTATCATCTACTTAAGTACTAAGTTTGTGAACTGAACAATTTAAGTATCATCTACTTAAGTACTAAGTTTGTGAACTGAACAATTTAAGTATCATCTACTTAAGTACTAAGTTTGTGAACTGGACAATTTAAGTATCATCTACTTAAGTACTAAGTTTGTGAACTGAACAATTTAAGTACCATCTACTTAAGTACTAAGTTTGTGAACTGAACAATTTAAGTATATTCTACTTAAGTACTAAGTTTGTGAACTGAACAATTTAAGTATCATCTACTTAAGTACTAAGTTTGTGAACTGAACAATTTAAATATAACCCTCTTAAGTACTAAGTTTGTAAACTGAACAATTTAAGTATATTCTACTTAAGTACTAAGTTTGTGAACTGAACAATTTAAGTATCATCTACTTAAGTACTAAGTTTGTGAACTGAACAATTTAAATATAACCCTCTTAAGTACTAAGTTTGTAAACTGAACAATTTAAGTATATTCTACTTAAGTACTAAGTTTGTGAACTGAACAATTTAAGTATATTCTACTTAAGTACTAAGTTTGTAAACTGAACAATTTAAGTATATTCTACTTAAGTACTAAGTTTGTGAACTGAACAATTTAAGTATCATCTACTTAAGTACTAAGTTTGTGAACTGAACAATTTAAATATAACCCTCTTAAGTACTAAGTTTGTAAACTGAACAATTTAAGTATATTCTACTTAAGTACTAAGTTTGTGAACTGAACAATTTAAGTATATTCTACTTAAGTACTAAGTTTGTAAACTGAACAATTTAAGTATATTCTACTTAAGTACTAAGTTTGTGAACTGAACAATTTAAGTATATTCTACTTAAGTACTAAGTTTGTGAACTGAACAATTTAAATATAACCCTCTTAAGTACTAAGTTTGTGAACTGAACAATTTAAATATAACCCTCTTAAGTACTAAGTTTGTAAACTGAACAATTTAAGTATAGTCTACAAAACCGGCAAGTTAAATAAACATAAATATGCAAGGAGACTCCATTACTCAATTAAGGCAACAAGTTTATTCAATTAATTTAGTTCAGTCAACTTATTGGAGTTTTCAGTGTAGGCTTGTTAAAAATATTTACTGTACTCTCTCATTCACTGCACCCAAAGTTTACCCAACTATGATGACGACGACTGAGAAAAGCCTGTAAATGTGAAAAGGGTCCATTTCATTTAAATTCTGGAACATCACAAGTAAATAATTACGCTCTCTTGACAAGAGCCTGTCATGCGATGAATATTCATTATTAATACTGACTGAAGTATCAATACTTGGGATAGATCACACGCTTTATCCTGCCATCCGCTTTGTTCTTGTCCAGCCATTTCCCACAGATAAAGATGGTGGTCACCCCGTTGGCTGTGTTGGTGATCTCGATCCTGCTGAGGAGCCAGCCGGGGCTCAGTCCAGAGTTATCGTGCTCCACTTGCACCCGCAGCAGGTCACCCATGTCCAGCAGCTCCAGGATGAAGCGGTTGGTTTGTCCGCGCTCAAACAGGTTCAGGAATTTCTTGCAGAGCTGCCTGCGACCCGAGTCTCCATTGCTGCCAAATATTGTGATGAAAACATTGGCGTCGGTGCCCGCGCCCTTCTCATCGCCAGTGATCACGATGGCCTCGTATTTCACGGGTACAAGGCTTTGGGCCTTGCTGATAAAGCTCTCGATGAATTTGGTGCACTCGAATGTCTGGAACTCGTCTCGCTTTGAGGAAAGAGAGATGGGGGCATCACAGCGGAAGATGTACCTGAGAGAAAAAAGAAAAAGATGTGATTTTGGAATGCTGAAAATTTCAGGATGGTGAAAAGCGTGAGTTTACTAGCCACACTGTACAAAGCAATTAGTACATTCATTTTCCTTCGGCTTAGTCCCTTATTTATCAGTGGTCACCAGGGCTTTACATTAACTTTTTTAATCACCAGCCACTGTGGCTAGTAGTTTTCCAATGTTACTAGCCACTCTGCATTTTCACTAGCCACAATTTTGTTGTTGAGAAAATATATTTTATATGCATAAATTTGACGTTGACATGCTAAAATTACTTGATTTAAATTTTATGTTATGGCCACATGCGTCCTTATTCATTTCACTTTTTGTGTGTCGAGTATGAGCTTGCTCAGTGAGCATGATCAAATGGGTCATGGTTTCATAGTGTTATATTGCAAGTACCAAGTAATTTAAAATTAACGATTTACCAAATTTATCTCTAGAACCATACTAAACAATAATTATTTTTTAGCCACAAATTTAATGTCAAAACAATCAAAATACTATACTTTTTATTTAAGAAAATATGTCTTAAATAAGAAAGAAAAGAAATTGACTTTTAAAGAATAACTATTGTCATGTATCAAAAATAAGCTTGGTAATCTGTCGTGGCTAAAGATCTCTCGGATCACCAGTTGACTGCACATAAATGGAGAGTTCATCTCCCATGAAAGCAATATTGTAAAAAAAAGATAATTAAACCATTTTAACAAAAATGAAAGTAAATAAAACCGTAAGCAAGTGAAAGCAGGCGAAACATACCGTGTGTGATAATGAAAGGATGATCACATGCACGCGGTTAACTTCAGGCAACTTACTAATCAGTTCAAAGTGAAAGCAACCGGTTCTGCTTACAAAAAGAAACATTTAGAGTTCTTAAAAGCATCAGGACTGTGGATGCACGTTCTTCACTTTTTGTCTAGTTTGTTTGAAAGAGAACCGATGACAGTTGCAGACACGGTTGCTTCACGATTCGGGAGCGCGCACGCGTTTTCAGAAGTCGCGCGCATCACATCAGCTGTTAGCGCGAGTGATGATCATTCTCTCATTCGATATTCATTTGCTTTCTTCTGCTCGCGTGATCACAATTATTTTACTTCTCGATTCTAAGATCTTTTAGGAAAACTACAATTTAAAAATTATTTTCAACCAGAACCAGCCAAAGTGCCTAGTGGAGGTGTCTGTCTAACCCGCCAAAGCTGAAATCTACCCGCATTTGGCAGGTTGGCGGCTGTTAATGTAAAGCCCTGGTGGTCACCACAGCAGAATGAATCGCCTACTTATCCAGCATATGTTTCACACAGCGGATGCCCTTCCAGCTGCAACCCGACACTGGGAAGCATCCATACACACTCTTATTACAATACAATACAATATTTATTTATAGAGCACATTTAAAAACAACCAAGGTTGACCAAAGTGCTGTACATAGGAGTGCTAAAAACAGAGAAGCAGAATATAAAAGAAACATTTAACAGATAAGAGCAATAAAACAGTGATCAAGGAGTATTAAAAGCGAGAGAAAATAGACAGGTCTTTAAGAAAGACTTAAACACAGAGAAGGAGGGGTAAAGTCTAATGTGAATCGGTAGACTGTTCCAGAGTTTAGGACCAGCAACAGCAAACGCTTGATCAGCTTTGTTGTTTAAGGCGTGTTCTGGGCACAGTGAGTAAGTTGAGATCTTAATGATCGAGGGGGGGTAGATGGACAAACAGGGCCGGATTAACCAATGGGCCTTATGGGCACAGGCCCAGGGGCCCGTGCGCACTAGGGGCCCCTGCGAGGGGGGACAAAAAAAGACAATTTCGGAGTGTCTTTTTAGGCTAATTGCAAATACTCTAAAGGTTTTTAGGCTCTCTGCAAAAACTATATTGCTCAGACAACAGTATTTCCTCTGAGCAAAAAAATCGCGATCACATATTAATATTATTATTATATTTAAATTGCCTTTCTTTCTTTAACTAAACAGAATGCTGTAATTGGTCAAGCGCGGAAACGTCAGTTTTGTAATAACCCGCACTAAACTGAGCGGACTTTAGTGTAACGTTATATCTGTCATAGATCAAAAATGAGTGGACAAGTGGATTTAGCAAACGCGAGAGAAAGAGGAGAGGAGGCATCTTTATTGAGGCATTTTCCATACACACCATCTTTAAACAGACCCATGATCAGGAGAATGAGGGTACAGAAGAAGACGTTATGGTAACTTTAAATGATGAGTAGCTAGCATTAACCAGGCTGAGGAGGCTAACGGCAACGCAGCGCGGACTGGATTCATCTGGTGAGAGACACAGAAAAGGAGAGAGAGAGGGAGAGAGATAGAGAAAGGCCCAGAAGAGGAGAGAGACGGGAGAGAAGAGGTATAGTGTGTGTGATTTTGGATACTTTTAGGTTTATAATCAAGTCTTCATCACGAGAAGAGAAGAGAAAATACAGGGAGAGGAGGAGAGAGACAGTAAATTAGTGTTTGTATTATGAAAGACTCAGATTCATAGAACTTTATTAGAGAAGCATTGTGCGTTATATGCCATGGCAATAATATGCTTTATAAGTTTGTAAAAGCAATACATTAAAATACCCTTAAAAAAAAAAAAAAAAAAAAAAAATATATATATATATATATATATATATATATATATATATATATATATATATATATATATATATATATATATATAGTTTTATTAGTATTTTTATTAAATGCTTTGAAAAATAAGTTAAATCTTTGTAGACCATAAATACATATGTACTATATATCATTTATTTAAATATGTGGGCAACAAATTATAGATTCATTTTATTTAAAAATTATTATATTATTCTTATTTTTTAAATTCAACTATACAACTGCCTTACTAGACAATGTGCCCAGGGGCCCCTGAGTTCTTAATCCAGGCCTGTGGACAAAGCAAGTCAGTAAGGTACTGAGGAGCAAGATTATTGACGGCTTTGTAGACAAATAATACAATTTTAAAATCAATTCTGTATTTAATGGGTAACCAGTGAAGTGCAGCTAAGATTGGAGTTACTGACTCGTACTTGCGGGTCCCAGAGAGTAGTCTAGCTGCTGCATTTTGAACCAGCTGCAGGCGAGAGAGAAGACTGAGTAATACCAAAATTACAGTAATCTAGACGTGTTGTTATGAAGGCATGAATCACTGTTTGGAAAAATTTCTGGGATCAAAATGGCTTGACTTTAGCCAGTTGTCTGAAGTGGTAAAAGTATTTTACGACAGTACTGATCTGTTTGTCAAATTTTAAGTTTTCATCAAACACAACACCTAGATTTTTTACACACTGGGTAATATGCGGGGCCAAGGATCCCACATTAACATCTAACAGAGGATTTTCTTTGTGCCCAAATAAAATTACGTCAGTTTTTTTTTTCATTTAAGTGTAAAAAATTGCTTGAGAGCCAAAGTTTAAGCTCCTCTAAGCAAGCCAGGAGTGGTTGTAAGCCATTAATATCTTTTTGTTTTAGACTAGAGGAAAATACATCTGCATATAGATGGAAGGAAACTTCATATTTATTAAAATTTGAAGGCAGGGGGAGCATATACAGGCCCAAGGATTGATTCCTGCGGAACTCCATAGTTGAGAGGAATATTGGATGAGGATTGATGGCCAATGCGCACACTAAAACATCTATTGGTCAGATAAGAGCGCAACCACTCTAATACTGTACCACGAAGACTGTCTCTAGACGTGTAAACAGGATCTTGTGGTCAATCAGGTCAAAAGCAGAACTTAAATCTAACAAGACTAATGCCATAGATTTCCCTGCATCAGTTTCTGTAAAAATGTTCACATACACACTCATACACTACGGCCAATTTTGTTTTACCCAATTCACCTATAATGTCTTTGGACTATGGGGGAATCCAGAGCACCAAGAGGTAACCCACACCAACAAGGGGAGAACATACAAACTCCACACAGAAACGGCAACTGGCTCAGATGGGACTCGAACCAGTGACCTTCTTGCTGTGAGGTGTTTTGAAACAAATCTTTGCGCTTAACAAACTAAATAAATTATTTATAGGCTAATGGATGTCTGTGCGTACAAGGTTTCCCTATCCACAAGAACGAAAGTGAAAGTAGATAATGAGAAAGCTCATCTCTCATTCTCTGTTTAACTGTTTTCTTGCTAATGAAATGCTCAGTTTTTCCACTTACACTTACTTTACGTCATGTAAATAGCGAATGTGCTTATGGCGCGACGCAACTGGCTCTTAAAGGGAATGGGAGATGAGACTCTGACTGGTTTATTCCTAAAACACACCTATAACTCGTTAAGAAAATAAACTCAACCCTTTTAGATCATGCGCCACGTCGCAAAGCGGATTTTTCCGTTCTTAAATTAATAAAAGTGGATTTTGACACACCCTTAAGGCTCCGTTTTTCAGAATTCAAACCCAAGCACTTTTCACTGGCGTCAAGCTGAAGCATATGCAAAATCACTCTTTTGACTTTAGATGGCTCTACACAACTTTAAGCTTGAGACACCCGCTTATAACACAGAAGACGAGGAGGAGAGGAAGTTCACACGATTGTTGATAAAGTTACTGGTGGCTTGAACAAGCATGAATTATCCAAGCAGCAGCTCCAGCTCTAGTGATAAAGAAATGATTATTATTCACAAGAGCAATAAGCAGCTCCACGTTCATATCCCCTCTTCAATGTGCGCTTGCATTGACAATTTTTCCGCTTGAGCGCCTCCAAGTGCTGTTTACTGTAACTTCAGCAGCTCCGTGCACGTGAACAAAAGTGGCGATCTGATTGGTGGAAAAGGTTTAAACAAAAAAACGAGCATGAGGCGTTTTTTTTTAAATGACGCTTTTGCGCCTGGTGTTTTGCGCGTTGGTGTGCACGATCACATTGACGCCCGTTATTTAGTCGCGAGGCGTTAAACGTCGACGTCTCGGTGTGCACGGGCCTTTAATGCGTTTGCACCCTGCGCTTTGCACTTTGCGCATGGATTGTCAAAATAGAGCCCAATATGTAACTGGCTGTAGTTCAATTAGCAGCCACCAGTGTCGCTATTGTCAATAGGTTTGAGAATCCTACATGTACAGTTGAAATCAGAATTATTAGCCCTCCTGAATTATTAGCCCCCCTGTAAGTTCTGTTTAATGAGAAGGTTTAATGAGAAGATTATTATTAGAAATATTATATATTAATAATAATAATTTGGATTTCAGCTATAATCCCTTTAACAACAATCATAAGGTCAGCTCTCACTTACTTATTGCCAAGTTCCTTCTCAGTGACAATGACCTCGTCCACAAACCAGGAGGCTTCAACTTTGACCTTCTTGCCATCTTTAGGGATGTGTCCCAGACAGATACTAGCGATGTCTCCCAGCTCCTTTGAGGAGAACTCAAAACGGTCCGTATTGCCTCTGAAAAAAACCCACACATGGAGCAACATTGTGTATTTTAACCGATGAAAAACAAATACCAACTGAGCACCAAAAATACACTCACCGTAAAAAGCGTTTCTTTTTAGCCGAGTTCTCCAACACAAACTCTTTGGAGCGTCCCTTCTTGCCTTCTAGAACAATCCAGGCATTCTCCTTGGTTTCTGCATCATCCATGTCTGCTGTCGTGACCAGGATTTCATATTCTGCAGAAGAACACACAGGGTTATAGACATACCGCATATACTGTACACTTTACATGCAAAAGTCAGATTGGCTGACTTTTAAAAAAAACCTATTATGCCCATTTTTTCAAGATGTAAAATAAGTCTCTGATGTCCCTAAATCTAATAACTCTTTAAAATTGACCCTTTTAAGGTTTAACCCAAATTGGGCCCTTTTAGCGGCTGTCACTTTAAATTCAAATGAGGTTGTGCTCTCTTCAAAAGAGGGCGGAGCTACAAATGCCTGTGTGTCAGCATATTGGCAAATACAAAAACAAGACTAGCCTCCTATGCTAACAAGGGAGAGATCATCACTAGTGGGCGGAGCTTTCCCCCTCTGATGACACGTACAAACAGACAATGTCAATCAAAGTGTTTCTGCAGACTGTTTTTATCAAGTGTGCTTATAAAAAAATAGAATTAATACATATTTATGATTAAAAGCTGGTTATGTTTAAAGACTGCAGCCACACAACTGTTTAAACCCCTTATGAAAGTGATTTTTGCATAATAGGTCCCCTTTATTGCACAATCAATGCTATGTATGGAGAAGCAGGCAAGAGTATGTGAATCTCACTGGTTTTTTCATCAAAATCCACTCCATCATTGTTGGCACAGGCCAGCTCTCTCATGATCTGTCCGTCATCCTCATTCTTGGCGAGCCAGCGGTCACACTGGAAGCGAAACTTCTTCCCCAAGATGTCATCATGAACGTCCACATACTCCAGGTGCCAACCAGGAGCCGGACCTGTCAACATAAATATTACTTTAACTAGGCTAATTCGATCTTTTTTTTTTTCTTTTTTAAATATTTCCTAAATGATGTTTAACAGAGCAAGGAAATGTTTACAGTATGTCTAATAATATTTTTTTCTTCTGGAAAAAGTCTTATTTGTTTTATTTCAGCTAGAATAAAAGCAGTTTTTAATTTTTTAAAAAACATTTTAAGGTCAATATTATTAGCCTCCTTAAGCAATATTTGTTTTTGGTTGTCGACAGAACAAACCATCATTATACAATGACTTTCCCAATTACGCTAACCTGCCTAATTAGCATATCTGTCAATATTGGGATGTGAAAATAAGGGACCCCTCCACAACACCCACCCCCCACCCCCCACAAAAAAAAAAAAAATTCCAAATTACTACATCTATTCATCTGGAGTTGTTTCATTGTAAAAAAATGAATTGTTGAATTGGTCAGAAATATGTTTTTATTATTTTATTATTATCAATTATTATTATTTACCAAGGTCAGAAAAGCATACATTAGAAAAAGCTAATTAAATTAGGGCTGCAACTAACAATTATTTTAATGATCGATTAATCTGTCGATTATTTCTTCGATTAACTAAAATCGAAAAACTAAATCGGATAAAAAAAAACAAAACAAGAAAAGCATTCATTTCCAACTCTTTATTCAAAAAAGCTCGTCCTTGAGCTGTTATAATAATATAATAATAATAATAATAATAATAATAATAATAATAATAATAATAATAATAATAATAACAACAAAATAAAAAACTAACAAAGTAGTATTGTCCCATTTTCAATCCAAATACATACTAGATACATACTAGACACATGAAATAGCAAAAGAAATTATGTTTTTTTTCTGGAAAAAAACACCAATAAATGATCAATAAATGTGTATTTTATAAATATATTGTGTATTTATATAAATGATTATTTGTCAATGGGGAAAGAAAAATAATCTTAATGAGATATAATCTCAAACAGAGGTTTTAGGCATCACTTAATTTTCCCATGCCATGTCTTGATTTAAGATTTTTTACATGTTTGGACTGGAAACGAGACAAAATGGCTAAGAAAGAAAAACTTTTAGCTGTGTAGCTATACATGACTACAGATGGAAAAATGTATGATCCAAAAAAGCCAAGTGAATAAAAACTTTAGTCTTTAGTCTTGCAAAGTGCAAAGTTACTATACCACCACTGCTTTGCTACTGTTGTTGACCCTTTTGCAGGTGAGTTTTAAAGATGTACGGAAAAATATCTTTACAGGATGATAGCGGGAATGAATCCGGGAGAATCCCAGGATAAACAGGCGGGTTGATAGGTATGCTAATTAGCATAGTTAAGTCTTCAAATGTTACTTTAAGCTGAATACTAGTGTCTTGAAAAATATCTAGTCAAATATCATGAACTGTCATCATGGCAAAGATAAAATAAATCAGTTATTAGAGATGAGTTATTAAAACTATTCTGATTAAAATTAGGCTGAAAAAATCTTCTTTCTGTTAAACCGAAATTTAGGGGAAAATATGCAGGGGGGCTAATAATTCATTCAGTTTGGAGGGGTACTCAGTTGAGTGTTTTTCATGCGTTTTATGTGATTCATGAATGTTTTTCATGTGCATTTGCTAAATGTACGTGGATCTTGACGTGTCCTTTAAGCACATTTACAAAATGCACATGAAATTAGGTGGACAGGCTTAGCAGGGTGATTCTGAGCGCTCTGATCGGCTCACCTGAGTTGTCGTGCCAAATGCGCACTTTCGAGAGCTCGCCCAGGCTGAGGATGTCAGGAAAGCGGAAAACATCCGTCTGTTTGCGCTCAAACTTGTTGGTGTTGTTGCTTTCTTTCAGAGTTAGAGTTCCAGTGTCACCGTTCTCACCAAAAATAATCATCCACACATTAGCATCGGTTCCAGCCGCTAAAAAACAATCAATTACAGAAGCATGTAAATAATGGATGCGTTTACTTGATCAAAAATGCAGTAAAAACGGTAAAATGTAAAATATTATTACAATATTACAAATAATAAAAAAAAGATATACAGTTGAAGTCAGAATTATTAGCCGCCCTGAATTATTAGCCCCGTTTATTTTTTTTCCTTAATTTCTTTTTAACAGGGTGAAGATTTTTCAACACATTTCTAAATATAATAGTCTTAATAACTCATCTTTAATAAATGATTTACTTTATCTTTGCTATCATGACAGTAAATAATATTTAACTAGATATTTTTCAAGACACTTCTATACAGCTTAAAGAGACATTTAAAGGCTTAACTAGGTTAATTAGGTTAACTAGGCAGGTTATGGTAATTAGGCAAGTTATTGTATAACGATGGTTTGTTCTTTAGACAATCGAAAAAAAATTAGCTTAAAGGGGGTAATATTTTTGTCTTTAATTAATAACTGCTTTTATTCTAGCCGAAATTAAACAAATAAGACTTTTTCCAGAAAAAATAATATTTAAATTCCTTGCTCTGTTAAACATAATTTGGGAAATACTTAAAAAAGAAAAATAAATTAAAGGGGGGCAAATAATTCTGACTTCAACTGTACTTTGAGAAACAGACGATTGTCAAACTCAAGTAAGAGCAGTATTGCCAGATTGGGTGTTTTCCCTATTAACTGGGCGGTTTTGAATTTGATTGTGCAAATAAAAAATTATATAGGCGGGTAGTGATAATTTGGGCGGTTTTGCAACAGAGCGCCCACCAGCCCCCCGGTATTTACTTACTACCTGGTTTTGATGTCACAAAGAGATTCTTATGATGTTTCGAATTAGCACTTGCGTAATTCTGGGGTCCGTTTTTCCAACACAATCTCATGGCAATTCGTAACTTTTTGAATTAGTGGCTAATTCGTATGAATTTGTATGATCTAATCCATAAAATTTTGTACAATTTGCTCATCCCCCAAATACGGATGGGTTTAGAGGTGGGGTTAGGTGCCACGCCTCCTTTTTAACATCGTACAATTTTGTACGACTGAATTAGCCACTAAACTAGCAAAACGTAAAATACTTACATTTTCTTGTGAGATCAGGCTGGTTTTTCATACTTCGCTTAAATAATCTAAGATGATTTGGCAGATCCTGGATCTTTTAATCTTGATAACTGATCTCTGGCTAATTTGGTTCTTCAAACAAGTTCGCGAATCAGATTTAAATGTCTGGATGAACTGATCTGAGATCGCTGCGTGTGTTGTGAAGGACAGATCTATCGACCCTCGAAATAATGATCAGCAATGCAACGATTGGCTAACGGCACAGCAGCGTAATGACATCATCTGATTAATATTCAATTATCCATGTGAGCAAAATTACAATAATTTTGTAGTAAACGGTTTGCTAAATATGACGGAATAACTTTCCACATTTGTTGTGGGCTGCAGGCTTTACACTTTCATGTGTCAAGACTCATTCATTTAGAGATTTTCTTTATTATAGTAGCCTAGGCCTACTCAAGGTTTTTTAATCGACAAAAGGGATAACGGTATACATTAATTTTGCATCAAAAAAGCATTTTGATATGGGTAAAGGTGTCTGCAACTTTTGCAAAGCATCAAATCATCGGCATATTATTGGTCAAAACACGTGCATGACTGCATAAATTATTATCTTTTTTTTTTTTAAAGTCCGATTGTGCATGTTTCCCAGAGATTGTGGCTGGAAGGGCATCCGCTGCGTAAAAACAAGCTGGATAAGTTGGCGTTTGGTGGTGCTGTGTTGACCCTAGATTAATAAAGGGACTAAGCTGAAAAGAAAATGAATGAATGAATAATTGAATTGTGCATGTACGCGTTTGTGTCTAAAATGTTCATATCAATAAATTTTCTCTTTTAACCACCAGGTGGCAGTATTTGTACTTTATTTTGGAGTGCAGATTGCATAAGTTTTATTAATATATATATATATATATATATATATATATATATATATATATATATATATATATAGTTAAAAGTATATATTTACTATTTTATCTCAAGTGTATATAACTACTGTAAGAAAATATCAGCATTTGGAACATACTTTCAGTATTATCTTTGCTTGAACTGACCCGATCCTGTTTATATGAAATGAACCTGCTCCTAAGCAGGTTTGAGCTACCAGAACTGTTGCTATGACAACAAGTCTCAGATGAGTTTTAAAGAACGAAACGATCCTGGATCATGTCAGATCGTCAATAACCAAATCCAGCTAACTGAGTAATCCATGTACGAAGAACAGACCCCAGGTCAGGTTTTCTTAAGCCTGACAAACTTTATTTTTACTTTTTAATCGGCTCTTTCCTGTCAATCCCACATAAAGAAATACTATAGAACCATACTAAGTTAAAGTGTATTATACTCTATATATTACTATTTTCAATAGTATATATATATATATAGTAATTAAATTTTGTCATTGACAGCTGCAGCATACTGTAAACTGTGAAAAACTGTATTAAAAACTGTAGTATAATTTATATATATTTGACATTACATTAACAGTGTTATACATACTTTAGTTTTCCTTCATTCATTCATTTTCCCATTTTAGTCCCATTATTCACCAGGGGTCACCACAGCGGAATGAACCGCCAACTTATCCAGCATATGTTTTACACAGCGGATACACTTCCAACTGCAACTCAGTACTGGGAAACATCCATTCACTCCCTCATTCACACACATACACTACGACCAATTTAGTTTGTTCAATTCACCTATCTTTGGACTTTGGAGCACCCGGAGAAAACTCTGATACAAGAAGGTCTCTGTAAGAGTGTATGGGTGTTTCCCAGTACAGGGTTGCAGCCGAAAGGGGAAACATCAACAAATAAATCAACAACTAATCTGAAGGAAAATTAATAAATGAATGAATATTTGTATAGAACTTACTGTATTGGGCAATTTGCTTAAATAACTATTGCTGTTTTATCATAGCAACAATAGAATTACACAACAGATTATTTCAAGTCAATTTACTATGCCGTAGTCAGAAAGCACTATAGTTTTTACTATAAATGACTACAATAATAATGAATAAATAAGCTTTCCACTGACGCATGGTTTGTTAACGTTGGACAATATATTGGATACAACTATTTAACATATGAAATCTAAAGTTTTTAGTAATGCACATTAATTAGTCTTTCATATATTTATGGTAGGTAATGTAAATTATTTAACTGTTTGATTTTCCACAACAAGATATTTCGAGTAGCTTATTGCTGAAGGTGGATTCACACTGCTTTGAACTCTTCGAATTTGTAATTTACATGATCCTAATGATCTGAGAGACCTGTTAGGTAGGGTTGGGTACCAAAACCTGGTGCCATTATAGCACCGGTACCTTTGTAACCATTATGTATCGGACTGAATCAGCGTATAAATATTGGTGCCTAATTTCGGTGCCACTGGTGCTGCAACAAGGACGTAAGAAGCATTAGGGGGTGCATCAAAGAAACTCATAAGTATGCGTTTTCACACCATCTCTAAACATTTAATTCTAAACAACTTTGAGGAATACAGGCAGGCGATGTCAGGCGTTTGTTCTTGTTGCTTAGGTAACGGACGCACGCAATTCAATGTAATTCATTTATTCATTCATTTATTGTCGGCTTAGTCCCTTTATTAATCCGGGGTCGCCACAGCGGAATGAACCGCCAACTTATTCAGCAAGTTTTTACGCAGCAGATGCCCTTCCAGCCGCAACCCATTTCTGGGAAATATCCACACACGCACACACACACACACACACACACACACTACGGACAATTTAGCCTACCCAATTCACCTGTACCGCATGTCTTTGGACTGTGGGGGAAACCGGAGCACCCGGAGGAAACCCAAGCGAACACAGGGAGAACATGCAAACTCCACACAGAAACGCCAACTGAGCCGAAGCTCAAACCAGCGACCCAGCGATGATCTTGCTGTGAGGCGAAAGCACTACCTACTGCGCCACTGCTTCGCCCCTCAATGTAATTCAAATATATAAAATATGAATTGATGTTTACTTTAAACTTTAATTATATTGTTGATTATATTGTCTAATAAAATTATTTGTAAAAAGATTTTTGTTAAAAAAAGATTTTTCTAGAGTCATTCACCAAATTTTGAGGCTCAAAAGTATCGGTTCAGGCACCGTTTTGGCACCAGTATCGAAATAACCCCTAACGATACCAAACCCTACTGTTAAATGTGTATGCATTGATTATATCTGTAATGTATTGAGGTCTTAGGCCACGTAGTGATTCATAGACCAGTAATAATACTTAAAAATCTACAATATTAAAAATCTACACTCTATAAATGACTACAATATTTTTCCATGTGCACTGGCAAAGTTGAGTTTCCAATCACAGGTTTATGAACATTAACATAATGAGATTTTACCAGTGTATCGAGTGTTTTAGGGCAACAGTTGTTAACATTTACCGGTTGCATCGCTGGTCTTCACAGAAACAGTGTATATTGTGAGCTCCACCATTTCCTCGTCGTCTATCACAGCCGGCATCTCGCATATGAGCGTTCGCTTGGGCCCGTATGAGCGAGAAAGCCATTCCTCATACGTGAACGTGGCCACTTCATCCGTCTGCAGGTTATGAAGCTCAATCTGCAGCACATAGAGACACAAATTAATACAATCAAATGTCACACTTTATTTTGATGGTACGTTTGTTCAATTTAAATGACATTGCATCTACATGCCAACCAATGCTCTTTAGATTATAAGTAAACTGTTAGGATGGGGTTAGTGTAAGTTGACATGAACTTGCAAAGTTTCTTATAGTCAGTTAAAGCCTAGTTCACACTCGAGGATTTTAAGCCTGATTTGAGCCCGATTTGGAAGTTAACGAGCTCGCCGACAGATCGGGCTGTGATCGGGAAGAAATCTGCGGGTGCACGGCGCTCGCCGCTCTTTATGTGTGAACTACTGAACAACACATCAACGAGGCTCGCTGACGCGTCGCCAACACCTCGCAGACGGAAATCCAACATTTAGCATGCTAAATATTCCAGAGCAGTCGGCCGACTCAACCCCACGTGTGGTCAGATGTAGTGACGAGCTGCAGCCAATGAGAGAGCATATAAACATGAGCTGAATGCCTGTGTGTTCAGGAGCTCAGCAGAAACATCTGTGATTGGTCAGAATGGGCATCGGTGCACTCGCTTTATTCTGCGTTAGCACAGACATGAGAGTAGGCCATATTAACAGTGGAACTAGAATTCTGTAACTATTAGAATTACCATACGGCTAATTCTGATCGTTCTCATATAAAACGCCATATTGTCACAACATATTTACATTCAAAGCTATTATTGAGATATTCAAATGAAGCTTTGAATGTCTGGCATCATATTTAATGACACCATTACCCTAAAAATATAATCTTTTTTTGGTAATACAGCCTATAAATATGTTGTTAAGATACTAAAACATGCAAAGGTCTTGGCTTTCATTTTCACTTTCAAACAGGAGCTATTGCACGGCACAGAATATGCTGTTTTGAAAGATATCTGAAGTAAATTGATGTTTTTGCCATCAGAAAGTTTTGTTTATGTTAGCAGGAAGTTGCTAGGCAAGAAAATGCACACATATTTATAGTCACAGTGAAAAGTATCAGACATGCATGCAGTCATTTTGATTAATATGGTAATTTAAGGCAGAAATGCTCAGTTCTTTACTGTTTTGTAATAAAAAAAATAACAATGTCAGAAAGAAATACACTGATAGCTAGAAAGCGGCTGGGTGTTATTTGTTAGTTTTATTTCAAAGAGTTATACAATTACAAAAATTAAAAACTCTCTGTGTATCTATCCACTGGAACCTTGCAGATGAGTGATTAATCCGCTGATAAATCAGCTGATTTGACGATGTTTTTAAAGGCTTTCTCCAAAGCTTGAAACGCTGTCAGTGATGTCATCAGCACACAAGCAGCCAATAGTGTTCAGCTTTTTCTGATGACTCCTCCTTCAAAATTTCATTGGCTGTGGTTTGGTAGCTTGAATGAGCTGTTGGGGAATGAGTTGTTGTCAGATCATGTAGTGTGTGACCCTCCTCTTGTGGATCATTCACAGAGTGTTGCGTAGTGTGAACACCACAGAGATTAAAAGACACAAAGTCAAGTCATGTAGTGTGAACGGCACAGCGATCTGCTGATGTTTAAAATCCTGTAGTGTGAACCAGGCTTAAATGTCTGTTAAATGTCAGTAGCAACAGATATTAAGCAGACAGTCTACTAATACTCAAATGGACCATCAAAATAAAGTGTTACCCAATCAAATGCTTGCATTATAGTCTAGCCTAGATTTCTCCTTCAAACCTTATCCAGGAACCAGTCGGGTCTGCTTCCAGAAGCATCGATACGCACTCTCATCTTTCTCAAAGGAGCGATATCCTCAATCTCCAGATTAAATGTGTCCACCTGCCCTCGTTCAAACCTGCACACATTGAATGATATAAATTATGCATAGAAAATTATTTGAATAATTTAAAGCTCATTCCATTGGTGTTTTTTTAGCTGTAGTTAAATACTAATTTTATTCATTTTTTAGTATTAAAGACTTAATCGTGATAAGTCAAATCCCTAAAAAAGTTTGTTCTGACACAAGATATTCACTTGTGTATTATGTATATTTATTATCTATATGCAATACAAACAGATATATAAAAACAAAACTATGCAAAACTTGCATATATATTTAAATTGATATATAATTTGTATCATATACATACAGTATATAGTTTATATCTTAATATAAACATTTTCTCAAATATTTGCATGCGAGTGTGTATTTAAGTATACATAAGCAATATAGTACACAAATATAAATGTCAAAACAAACTTTTATTTTGAATGCAACTAATCGTGATTATCTTTGCCCAGCTCTATAAAATCTAAAGAAGCGTCCATCACTGAATAAAAAGCCAGAATTCACAATTCTAAAAAGAACAGTTGATCCCAGTTCTGATCCAAATGAAAAAATACTAGTAATTTATAGTTAATTTAAAGTAAATGCAATACGTTTTGAACCATACTGTAGGTGAAGTTTCTTTATAAACTAATTTCGAGAAGATCACGTGCTTGTGATTGACATGGCTGGTCCCATCAAGCTAATGTACGATTCACAAATCAGACGATTCCTAAGTTATTAAAAATAACCAAAGCATCTTACCTTAGTCAATATCGTCATGAAGAATCCCCCCCTTCCACACCTCTCTCCTCTTTTTTCTCTATTGGGCAGCACAGCGGCCCAGTGGCTAGCACTGTTGCCTAAGAGCAAGAATGCCTCCGGTTCGGGTCCCTACCCGGTCAGTTGGCATTTCTGTGTGGAGTTCATGTTCTCCCCGTGCTCGCGTGGGTTTTCCCCGGGTCCTCCGGTTTCCTCCCACAGTCCAAAACATGAGACATAAGTAAACTGACTAAACTAGATCCGCACCATAGTCACATTCCACTAGCAGCACACCCTCACAGCAATCCTTAACCACTAGGGTGGGGTTCTCAAGATCTACCTGAGCTCAAACTCCCCTCTCGCCCTGCAAACGGGAGGGAGCCCCAGGCTCAAGGATCTTATAAGCTTAGGGCTCTCTCCCAGGACAGCATGCCAAACTAGCTTCATTACCAATAATCAGCTAAGTGTGAACTGTTGAATTGTGTATTATATTGCATATTCTATAGTATTACAACACTTGATTGATGAATGCTACAGTATACTGTAGAATTGACTATACACTCGTACACTACGGCCAATTTTGTTTACTCAATTTTAATATACAGCATGTCTTTGGACTGTGGGAGAAACCAAAGCACCAGAAATCCCAACTTGTCGCAGCAATAGCCTAGTGGTTAGCGCATCGACACATGGTGCAGTAGCGCATCAGGTCATCCCGTGTTCGAATACTGGCTCGAGGACATTTCCCTACCACCCCCTATCTCTCTAACTTCGCTTCCTGTCTAAATACTTTCCTAATAAAGGCCAAAAATAAATCTTTAAAAAAGAAAGAAAAGAAATGCCAACTGGCCCAGCTGTGACTCGACCCAGTGACTTTCTTGCTGTAAGGCCACAGTGCTAACCACTAAGCCACTGTGCCACCCCCTCCCCAATGTACAATAATGACAGCTGACAGTACATTTCCAATGTGTTTTTTCACTGGCCTTTGTACCTGTCCTCTAATTTTGGCAGTAACATTTCCTCCGACGTGCCGTAGACTCCAAACACGGTCATGTAGATCTGTGTGTCTGTGCCTGCGTGCTGGACGTCTCCTGTTAACACCGTTACCTCATAGATCACCTAAAGAAAAATCTTTTATTAAGTAAGTTCAAAAGTTTGAGTTCTGAGCAAATTTGAAACTATTATTCACCATAAACGCATTAAACTGAGCAAAAGTGACAGTAAATACATTGATAATGATAAAAAAAAAATCTGAATTCTGAAGTGCTACATTTGTTGTTAACATTGATAACATTGTCATTTCTTGAGCTACAAAAATCTGCATATTACAATGATTTCTGATGGACTGAATCAAGTGATGTGATAGCTGCAATGATGCTACAATTCAGGCGGCATCATAGAAATAAAAGAAATTTCAAAATATATTCAAAGGTACTTAAAATATTTCACTGTACTACTGCTTGTTTGTCTTTATTTATGTTCAGATAAATGCAGCCTCATTGAGAATCTTCTGAATAGTAGCTTATACTGCATTGAAATCACAGTAATACCCAACCCATTAATAACCAATGTTGGGAGTAATGCATTACAAAACGGTACAGTACAGTACAATATATATATTTATAGTACAGTAAATAGTAATAGTAAAGTACAGTACGGGACAGGGGAATTGGGTATGCTAAATTGTCCTTAGTGTGTGTGTGTGTGTGGATGTTTCCCAGAGATGGGTTGCGGCTGGAAGGGCATCCGCTGCGTAAAAACGTGCTGGATAAGTTGCCAATTAATTTCGCTGTGGTGACCCCGGATTAATAAAGGGACTAAGCCGGCAAGAAAATGAATGAATGAATTTTACTCGGGACATGCTCAGTAACGCTTGCGTTACAACAAACTTTTTGCCCGCAACACAATAACAAATAAAAATACGGCAAGTAAGTTCTATTTCCTGTTTGTGGTTAGTGAATATACGTGTGTGTTGTCAATAATCTCCCTCTGCCTATTGGACGCGGAATAATTTCAGCCTCTGAGCTCGAGGTCCGAGGCTATTGGCTTAGCCCGGTTCGCACAAACGTTAAGAACTAAAGCCTGGTTTATACTCGACGCGCAGCGGAGAAGCAGCAAAAAGATGAAAATGGCAGAAGACAGTACATTCACAAGATAAACAGATGCACATATGGCATTATAAGGACAAGAAGAATGTTATTGTCAAATGCAACCTTTGTACAAACCTGAGAGAATTATCAACATAGACAAATAGAACTAGCAATTTAAAAAACATCTCGAGCGCTGCCATGCAACCACTCCACTAACAGAGAAGAGAAAGAAAACAGAGGACGCGAGTGAGAAGCTAAAGCAGCAGAAATTAAGTTTCTCTCGGAGAGTGGATTCATTTAGTCTTTTTAGAGGCATATAAATCTGTGTTTGGCCTAAAATGACTGCGGTTAAGGGGTTGGTCCTCTAATTGCACTTTATACTGAGAAAGCTATGCTCATCATGCTCACTTGTGCATGACCGTTTTGTGTTGTGAACCTGAATTTAAAGTGAATAGAATAATGGCAAAAATAAGAAAAGAAAAAAATCTGCATCTTGTCATGGCACTGGCGTTTATGTAACGGAGGCCAGCTAATGTGTGCTGTGCAGGTAAACCTCACTCCGCTGACCTCTAAAGATGCTCTAGCGACAGACGCTAGAGGCCATGGTCTTTAGTATCCTCGTTAGAGCAACTGACTCACATGTGGAAGGTTGCCGATTCGAAACCAGCTCGAAGCGGGTTGGGTGGCGTAGGACCGGCGGGGTTACATTGGTGCCGTGACCCGGATGGGAGTGAGGTTTAGGGGGGTGAGTGTAACGGAGGCCAGCTAGTGTGTGCTGTGCAGGTAAACCTCACTCCGCTGATCTCTAAAGGTGTTCTAAAGGCCATGGTCTTTAGTATCCTTGTTAGAGCAACCGACTCCCATGCGGAAGGTTGCCGGTTCGAAACCAGCTCGGAGCGGGTTGAGTGGCGTAGGACCGGCGGGGTTACATTTACATATAGGCCTGTTGTGTCTAATATGAATATACCCAAGCTATTGACAGATATTGCCTGATAATCACTATACCTCTACCACACTTTTAACAGATCATTTGTGATTCTTACTGTCATCATATTTTGCATTGTCTTGAGCCTTCACATTGCCAGTTATATACTATATTGTTAGTAGCCTGGATACATGGCAGTCATTCTGTTACATCATATCGCTTTCTACTGGGTGTAAAATGCTCTACAGTACATTTAGTCATTTTATAATGTTAAGTTCTAATTCTGTAGTTATTTTGGTGAAAGCAACTAGAAAGTAATATAAGAGTCATGTAACATTACTGCTCTGAGACAGTAATATTGTAAAGTAAGGGATTACTTGTAAATAACAGTAACAAGTAATCTGTAATGTATTACAGTTTAGAAGTAACTTGCACAACACTGTTAATAATAAGGTCACACTTTACATTAAGGGTTCATTAGTTAATGTTAATTCATGTATTTTTTACATAAACTAAAAGTGAACTACTTGTACTTGTTCAGCATTTATTAATGACAGTTCAAACATTTACTAGTGCATTAAAAAAAAACGAATCCTCGCTTGCTAACATTAGTTAATGCACTGTGAGCTAACATGAACAAACATTGAACAATATTATTTCCATTATAGTTACCAAAGATAAATAAATAATGCAATAATTGTACTGCTTTTTGATGATGTTAGAAAATACAGTTGAAGTCAGAATTTTTAGCCCTCCTGTATATATACTTTCCCCCAATTTCCAGATTTTTTCGACTAATTTCTAAACATATTAGTTTTAATAACTCATTTCTAATAACCAAGTTCCTTTATCTGTGCCATGATGACAGTACATAATATTTCACTAGCACACTAGCAGTTGCAGATCGCTGGAGAACTACAATTCTGCAACTGAAACGAACTACAACTCCCATCATCCACCTCACACACACCAGTTCTGAATGACCAATGATTGCACACACCTACAGCTGAAGCTCATGTAGACTGAGTAGTTGGACTTTAGATATACCTCACATTCTCATACACTTTGCTGAGTCTTGTGATCTGTAGTTGAGCATTAGCGAAGCGGTTTCCTTGTTCTGCGTGGTTTTGACCTTTGCTTTGTTTATTGTTTTATGTTGTTTTGCCGCCTGTCCTGACCATTTGTCTCCTTTTTCCGACTACACTTTGGATTACCTGCATGCACCTGTTCTTCCTGTTTTGACCATTGCCTGCCTGACTATTGTGTTTAATAAAGCTGCACATGGATCCTCACCTCTGTTGTCCCCTACTCATTATAAACATAATATTTCATGAAGATGTATTTGCAAATTGACATTATGAGATTAACTAACAATAACTAATACAACCTTGTTGAAAAATGTTTTCAAAAATAACTTATAATGGCGTACCTTCTGTGAGATATTGACCATTTCTGCATCTTGCACATTTAGGATGCGCGCGGTCAGTCCGTCTCCTCTGTCTTTGGCCAACCAGCATTTACAGCGAAACACATAGCGCACCGCTTTAGTCGGCACCTCCACAGTCAACTCATCCACCAACCAGCAGCTCTCGGGAGTCGCTCCATCATGACCCAACTAAACAACACAAAACCAGCAAATCTCACATCTACAGTATCTACAGTTCAGGACAAAATCATTAACCCTATTGTGATTTTATTTTTTTAATTATTAGTGCTCTTTAACAGAGAGAAGTTTTTCAACACATTTTAAACATCATAGTTTTAATAATTTTGTTTTTGGCACGAGAAGATAATATTTTACAAACTATTTTTAAGATACTAGTATTCAGCTTAAAGTGCAATTCAACCCTGTTGGACCCTTTGCATTTGCAATAGATATGTTACGGTCATTAGCTGAAGTACCCACCAGACTCAATAGAGGGCACTATATGTACACTCCACTAGAGATCTGTGCGGGACTAAATTTTGAATCCCACTCCCGCCCGCACCCGCTAGGTTTTAGCCCGAACCGGACCACTCCCGCTTACATTCAGCATTTGTTGTCCCGCTGCCTGACCCGCCCCGTTTTCTACCTACCACGCCCGATCACGCTAAAGAGCGGGGGGAGAACAAAACCGAAAACCACCCAGCTATACAGAGTCCAGGCCGCCTATAACAAGCTGTCTGTATAAACACACACACACACATAAGCACCAAGCACACACACACACAGACAAAGCTCTCTCTCTCTCTCTCTCTCTCATTAGCGCGCGCACTAACACACACACACACACACACACACACACACACACACACAGCAACAAACAAGCTAAACACAGCATCGCGCTATTTCATTTACACACATACA